GGGTAATTTATTGGAGATAATAATGTATGGTCTTTTGTAATTTCCCTACCACTTGAGCCACAGCACCACTTCTGGTGTTTGGGGGTAATTTATTGGAGATAATAGTATCACAGACTTTCTTGGCCAGACTAGCTTCAAACCATGATCCTCAGATCTCAGCCTCCAAGTATTTAGGATGACTTGGCACCCAGCTAAAAAGGAGTTGTTAACACAAATGCAAAAAGTCATTAAAAAATTGAAAGATAGTGAAAAGCATTTGAACTTCTCATTCCTAAATCAAAAATTTTAAACATTAGTTGCATTGACTGCTGGTGTTGGATCTTTGGTAGGGGCAGTGTTTGAGACAGAATGTTAAGACTATGTCCAAAATCCTCTTCACATTGGATGTTAAGCTGTAGGTTGTTTCATTTAGCCTTACTTTCTTTTATCATGATTATGAAAATATGTTGCTTTTTCTGGTTTTTGTTTTGCTTTGAAATTAGTATTACTTTCACTTCACCTTTTAGATTAGTTTGTGGTTTTTAGATTGGAGTATTGGACATTATTTCTCTCTCTTCTCTCTGCATTTCTTCAGCTGCAGTATTTACAAGGCACTGAACCACAGGGTAGATAATCACGTGGTAGAAAATGCAGGGAATGTTACTGGATAGGATTTGAATACCCTGGCATTCCAATATCCCTCCAAGGTTGACAGCATTACAGAGTTATGTTGAAACTGCTTATCCAAGGCCATATTTATGCCTTCTATAACTTGTTATTTTTTTGAGACACAACTCACAGGATTTGTGTAAAGTATAACATGTATATAATTGTATTGATGTTGCCGTGGGAAAGACCTGCTCTTGCCAGATAGAGCTGTGCACACACATAAAGGAGCAGCTACTGTAAGACGGAGTAGACTGCTGCCTCTGCTCTCTCTCTGGAAATAGCCGCCGCTGCTGCAGTTGATTCCACTTCTCTTTGTTGCCTGATTTTGCTTTCAGTGGCTAAACTGGTAACGGCATTAGGTCAAATGGTTCAGATTTGATTCTTATAATGAAATTGCAGTATGCTTTTCTTCATTTTCCCTATTGATTTTTTTTTTTTTTTTTACAACGCTAGGTTTGTAGTCATAGCCTTGCACTCTTGCTCAGCTAGATTACTTACTCATGGCTGGCAATTGGTAATAATCCCAGACCAAACCAGGTCCTCCTACCCTTATATGGTCAGTGTGACATGTAATATGGCTCCGCTTAACTTAGGCTTTACACAGTCATTATCTTTTTTTTGTATCACTTGGGTGATATTTTAACTTTGCTGTATGACAGACCACCTTAAAGCTAGGTGGCTTCCATCATGTCTCATTTCTCCTGAGTCATGAGTCAGAGGGAGCTGCTGGGGATTGAGGGGCTGGGGATTGAGGGACCAAGATGGCCTCACTCCTGTGTCAGGCCCTTTGTGCAGCTCTGGTTATTCAGTAGTCTAACTGGACCTCCTTGCATGGTAGTGGGGACATTTCAGGAGGGTGAAGATGGGAGTATAGACTTCTAAATTTGCACAGCGTCATGTTCTTCAAAAAGCTAATCAAAGCAAGTCATGTAGTTTATTCTTACGGCTCCCAACTTTTTTTTTTTTTTGGTCGGTCGTGGGGCTTGAACTCTGGGCTTGGGCCACAGTACCACGTCCAGTTTTTTTTTTTGTTTTTTGTTTTGTTTTTTGTTTTTTTTTTTTTTGGTCTGGTTGTGGGGCCTGAACTCTGGGCCTGGGCACTGTCCCTCAGCTCTTCAGCTCAAGGCTAGCACTCTACCACTTGAGCCACAGTGCCACTTCCGGCTTTTTTATTTTTGCTTATGTGGTGCTGAGGAATCGAACCCAGGGCCTCAGGCATGCAAGGCAAGCACTCTACCACTGAGCCACCTTCCCAGCCCGCACGTCCAGTTTTTTAATGGTATATTGGAGATAAGAGTCTCATGGAGTTTCATGCCCGGGCTGGTTTTGTTTTTTTTTTGTTTTTTTTTTTTTGTTTTTTTTTTTTGGGTCCGGTCGTGGGGCCTGAACTCTGGGCCTGGGTGCTGTCCCTCAGCTCTTCAGCTCAAGGCTAGCGCTCTACCACTTGAGCCACAGCGCCACTTCCGGCTTTTTTCTTTTTGCTTATGTGGTGCTGAGGAATCGAACCCAGGGCCTCAGGCATGTAAGGCAAGCGCTCTACCACTGAGCCATCTTCCCAGCCCCCCCCCCCCCGGCTCGTTTTGAACAATGATCCTCAGCTTCCTGAGTAGCTAGGATTACAGGCATGAGGCCCCCAACTCTTAATGAGACAAGGTATGAAAGAAATATTGTGCTCTGTTTTTCCATATATCACAGATAATTAAAATTTTATCCATTGAGTTTAGTTCCTAAAATTCATTCTTATTTAATATGAAAACTAAAAGCTGTTCATTTAGAGACTCCTAACAATCACTTAATATATGAGATACATAAACAACTTGAAAATTTAAAAATGTAACGTTAAAGAAGTTATATTCTCCAGCTTCTTTACCCTATAATATCAAACAGATTAAAAAATACTGTAGAAGCCAGGCACCGGTGGCTCATGCCTGTAATCCTAGCTACTCAGGAGGCTGAGATCTAAGGATTTCGGTTCAAAGCTAGCCTGGGCAGGAAAGTCCGTGAGACTCTTTATCTCCAATAAACCACTAGAAAACCGGAAGTGGCGCTGTGGCTCAAGCGGTAGAGCCCTCGCCTTGAGCTGAAGAGCTCAGAGACAGCACCCAAGCCCAGAATTCAAGCCCCACGACTGACCGAAAAAAAAATACTGTAGAAAAGTGTGGAGTTAAAAATACAGAGGGAAATTTAGTACAATCCGCATAATGTTGACTTAGCTATTATTTTCTCAAACCATTATATATGTATTATCACTAATCTTGGTGGATTTTTTACATTATGGAATATTAAAAGTAGGAACAAGCTGGACATCAGTGCTCAGGCCTGTAATCCTAGCTACTCAGGAGGCTGAGATCTGAAGATCTTTGGTTTGAAGCCAGCCCAGGCAGGAAAGTCTCATGAGACTCTTATCCCCAGTAAATTACTCAGAAAAGGTCAGAAGTGGTGCTGTGGCTCAAGTGGTGGAATAATAGCCTTGAGCAAAAGAAGCTCAGAGCCAACACGCAGGCCCCAGGACCAGCCAAAAAAAAGCAAATATGTGTTTCTGGTGAATAAATTTGTAATAACATAATACTGTTGAGTTGGTTTAAGTTTATATATTCACTTATCTGTCAGTTACAATCATTGCAATGCACTCAACTTAGGGCTGGGTCACGTAGACACAGTTCCTGCCTGTCACCACACCCTAGGTGGGGTCGGGAAGGTTCTAGAAAGCAACTCTGTGAGCCAAGACTTGAGAGGTGAGCCACAGAGGGGAAGGAGTATGAGTCCTGTAGTGAGAGGGGGAAGGACTTGCGTGTTGGAGGTGAGTACAAGGGAGTGTGAGAGGAACTGAATAAAAGTCTCTGATGGGTTGAGTGGAAAGAGGTGAGGTAGCTGGCCACTGCAGGTCTTCTTGCAGCGTCTGGATTCGTGGGATGCCCTAGAGGGGCTGAGAGAGGATTTGTTGTTGTTTTTACTCAGATTATTTCAGGAAAGTCACCAGCTATAGTGTGGTGAGATGTGTAGCCAGGGAAAGCAAGGATTAAACTAGAGATCCAACATCATAGGCCACAGATGTCAGTTAGGTAGTTGTGGGAAAAAAGAGGAGCATCCAGAAATATTTAAGAGGAGAAAGCAATTGGCTTTGGTTACTGGGTATAGAACAGAGGGAGGCACTGAGGTGACAGACTTTCAGATGAGGAGCTAAGTGGAGGACAGTTTTGGTCTTGTGCATCTCAGACTAAAGTCCTGTGATCTCCTTTTGTACTGCAAAGGATTTGAAATGACATGTCAAATTTCAATTCATAAAAGTGATTGAGGACTGGGAAGGTGGCTCGGTAGAGTGCTTGCCTAGCACTCATGAAGCCCTGGGTTTGATTCCTCAGTACTGAATAAACAGAAAAAGCCAGAAGTGGCGCTGTGGCTCAAGTGGTTGAATGCTAGTCTTGAGAAAAAGAAGCTCAGGCTAATGCCCAGTCCCTGAGTTTAAGCCCCAGGACTGGTCAAAGAAAGAAAGAAAGTGACTGAGTTTCATTTAGGACAATCCAGTCAAATGTAGCAATGCTGCCATAATCTGAGTTGTATGTTGAATCTGAAACAAAGATTTTACTTTAGCATGAGTTCCATCTTAGTATAGAAATGTATGTGTCTACAGTAGTGTCTGTAAAAGTTTACTTACCTCTAAGTTGTTGGAAATTACTTGAAGAGAATAATGATGAAGCAGTATGTGAATGCCTATCTTAATTCTTTTTATTCATTAGTCTAAAATAACATCATAGTCAATGTTTGTTCACATGTTAAAGCTTACTGAAAGAATTTATAGACATTGTTTCTCTCTCTTTTATAATCTTTGATAACTCTAGTAAAGAGAAAGTTGTTTTTACTTTTGCTAGGAAAGGAAAAAGTGCAGAATAATTATTTGAACACCACATTGTAAGCCATATTTATGTTTAGTTTTTATTCATCAACCATATATTCCAATGTAGTTGCAGTAGAGAATAACGCCTGTTATTTATCTCTTCTTGCTGTTAAGTAATGATAATGGATGTTTTAAAAGAATCAATTTTTATATGTTGGGAAATTAAGCCTTTTGGCACTGAAATTATCTTAGGGTTCTTATAGTTTTAAATTTCATGGCTAGTTTATTAAGGTGCATTTGCTCATTCTACATTTATAGTACTACTTTCTCTGAATAATATATTAAAATTAGTATAATATTAACCTTCTAATCCTCGTTCCAGAAATTAGGATGTAGTTAGTTAGCTGGCTCTCCAGTGTGTTCTCCATAAACTTGAGTTTTCTATTATTTTGGATCTTTTGTAATTTAAAAGCATTTTAAAATGTGTACATATTTTTCTTTCTTCTTTTTTCCATAGGCACTACAAGGGCCCCCAGGGATGGGGAAGTCCCAGGGGTGGACTATAATTTCATTTCTGTTGACCAGTTCAAAGCACTGGAAGAGAGTGGCGCATTGTTAGAGAGTGGAACGTATGATGGTATGTCCCCAAATGACCACCCATGTGACTGCAGTTATTTCAGAGAGAATTCAAACAGTAAAATACCATTTTAAAATGTTCTTAGAAAACTGTTCTTTTCTAGAGCATTTCTTATTTTAAATCAAAACTGGCTAGTTTATGTATTTCATAGAAATGTCCATTATCTGAACTCAGCAAGTTTTTGTGAATAGCTTTTCTGTTTATGACTGAGAACCCCAAATCTTTATACAGTAAAAAACAAAAACAAAAATCCCTGTATGTAGTTTGAATCTCTTGGAGAAAACAAAACTATACATAGGGGGCAGTAAAAACAGGATAATTGGTTTTCTTTTTGTATCTGTTTACCCCCTTGATTCAGGAAAATACAAATTCAAGATCATATTTCAACTTTTAAATGATCCGTGTTAGCAATTTTTCTCACCTACCATGGTTTTAACTGGCAAGCCTGTCCATTTCCACAGGGCCACACCCTTCCCCACCATGGCTTTGTCAGGCTGTTACTGTTTCCTGTCCTCCAAACTCTGTGGTGGTGGGGGACCATGTTTCTCTTACTCTGTAATCTTCAGTTCGTAAAGACAATGCTTAATGAATATCTGGCTTTGAATGAGCTATATCCACACATGCATTTGCGTTCTAGCCAGTAATCCCCCATAATTTCTCTCCAGCAGCAGCACCATCATTTACTTCCTCTTTCCTTCTGTTCCTCATCAGTCAGTTATCAGAGCACAACATCCCTTTATTTGCAGAGACATCCATAGTGCCCTGCTGTTCACTCCAGCCATCTCATAGCCGGACCCTGGCTGAGTCTGGACTCTTGCAATGAATGTCTCTGCTTAGCTCTTCCTTCCTGAGTCTACCCTGCCCTTCGGTACCACGTCAATCTCCCTCAGGAACAGCTCTGATCACATCTCCTGGTCAGAGCGTTCAGTCAAGCCCTTGGTCTTCTAAGTTTAACTTAGCTTCTCTTTCTGGGCTTAGCACCCATCCTTCATTTATTCATTTATTCGTGTATGTGATACTGTTTTATTCAGCAACCCTTTGTTGAGAACCTGTTTTGTGTATGAGGTAGGGACACTGACCGAGGTGCTGCTTCCCTAATGAATCCTGTGTCTTAGTGGGGAAGGCAGTCACACAACAAATTAGGTGGAGAAGATAAGACAAAGTGAAGCAAAGATTTGAAGAAAATAAAAGGAATATCTTGTTTAGATAAGATAGCTAGTGAAGATTTCCCAGAAAAATGTGTAGCTACCTACTTGTTTTCACTTTTATGCAAGTAGCCTCCTTTTTATACTTAACGGTTCTGAAGTGTTTAATGTGTATGGCTTCTTTATGTGTGTGCTCACAAAATGTGTGTTGTGTCTTATATGCGTATTTATTATTTACATCTGAACTATGTTCTGTGTCATTCAGTTTTTTTCATTTATTACTGTAAATTTTAGATTCCTCTGGGGTACTGTACTATGTATGCAATCATACTATGTATGATTCCGAGCTGTAGTCTGCAGTATGAAGGCATTGTATGACAGTCCTCATCTCCACTAATGAAGCTGCACTGAGTATTTTTGCATAATTTCAAAAGAGCAGAAATGCATTATCTTGCCCATGTAATTGTAACCCCTCTGTACAGTATTTTTACAATTAAAAAAAATTAAAAAAAGAGCAGAATTGTTTAGTTGAACACAATATCTGCTTACTAGTCAGATGAGTGGAATGCGCTGCAGTCTTCTCCTTACCCCAGCAACACACAGGCCTTACTAATGGCTTCTCAGCCTCAACACTTGGCATATCCAATTTCATCATTTTGCCAACCTAATGGTTGTAGAAATGGTATCTAATTTTAATTTTAGTGTCTCTGGTAGTCAGAGAATTTGAACATCTAGTCATGTCTTTAGAACTTATGCAAATTATACATTTGTTTGTTTTCTCCTTTTGAAACCTAGATCTCAATCAGTATCTGATATATGGAGGTTGATTAATCTCTTACCTGGCATAGACTTTTTTTTCTCATTCTGTCACCTGTTAACCTTATCCCATATTTCTTCATGAAATGTAATTCCTTATTTATTTATCATGTTTATCCCTACAGTGACTCTGGATAGCATTTTTCCATTTCAAGGAAAGTTAAACCTCTTAGAATTAGATAGTAATAACTCAGCATTCACAGCCAAGTATGTTCCCTAGGGATACCATGAGTATCCTTAGATGGATGGGCTTTCCATTCTTCATGGAAAATAAGATTCCTTGATCATATATATGCTTTTTATATATCAATTTTAACACTTTTTCTTAATATCAAGTTTTATTTATACATTCTCCTGCTTTTGAGTCATAAGGATTTTGCCTACATTTTCTTTCATGAAACATGAAGACTTGTTTTATGACAGAGTGGCCTCTTATTGTGTGCTCTATGCTTGGCTCAGAGGAAATGCAATGTAAACAATTAGGCATCATTCTCCACTCATCAGATTGGCAAAAATACAGAAGTTTGATAATTGCAAAAAATAGAACCTCCCATACATTTCTGGCAAAGATGTTATAAAATGATACATTACCTTCCCTAGAGAATTCATTGCTTATGTTCTTGTGTCAGCCAGCACCAGAGTAACCATTATAGCACTGTTTGAAATGGAAACAACTCTCTTTTAGTAAGAGAATGGATACAAGACACCTTAATTTGTATTTCATAAAAATGGGCTATTATGGACCAATGTGTAGTACACATCTGCAATCCCATTAGTTGGTAGGTGGAAACATGAGAATCAAGAGTCTTAGGCCAGCCTGGTCTACACTAACACATTCAAGGCCAGCTTGAACTATGTTAGGAGACCATGTCCAAAACCCAAGGGCTGGGAATACAGCTCAATGGTAGAGTGGTAGGCTAGCCAGGTGCAAAGCTCTGGGTTTGATCCTCAGTACTTAAAAAAGAAAAGAAAAAAGAAAGTCGGGCGCCGGTAGCTCACGCCTGTAATCCTATCTACTCAGGAGGCTGAGATCTGAGGATCACAGTTCAAAGCCAGCCTGGGCAGGAAAGTCCATGAGACTCTTATCTCCAATAAACCACTAGAGAACTGGAAGTGGTGCTGTGGCTCAAATGGTAGAGCGCTCACCTTGAGCTGAAGAGCTGAGGGATAGCACCCAAGCCCAGAGTTCAAGCCCCACACCGACCTCCCCCCAAAAAAGAAATATGATCATTCTGAAGAAATTTTAGAATTATAAACAGAAGGCTGTAGAGGCATTAGTGTAATATTCTACTTTAAAAAAGTGTGAAACATGAAGACACTGTGAAGCTTTTATTGAAAACAATTACATGTGTGGATGCATTTATTTACACACACATCCTAGAGAATACAGTATTTGGGAGAATGACACAGGTCCACTTCAGGATAGTTTAAGGGATGGGTCAAGTAATAAAGGGCTTATTACTCTAAAATCAGGAACAAGACAAGGATGTCCACTCTCTCCACTCCTCTTCAATATAGTATTAGCATTCCTACCTAGAGCAATTAAGGCAAGAGGCAAACATAAAGGGGATCCAATTAGGGAAAGAAGTAAAACTCCCCCTCTTTGCAGAAGACATGATCCTGTATCTAAAGAACTCTACTGCCAAGTTACTTGAGCTGATCAAAAATTTTGGCAAAATAGCAGGGTATAAAATTAATCCACAAAAATCAGTGGCTTTTCTGTATGCCAACAATGAAAAGAGCAAACTGAAATCAGGAAAACAACACCTTTTCTAATAGCTCTCCCCAAAATACCTAGGAATTAACCAAAGAAATGAAGGACCTCTATAATGAAAACTTTAGAAACCTGAAAAGGGAAATTAAAGCAGATTTAAGGAAGTAGAAAAACCTCCCATAGTCCTGAATTGGGAGTATTAACATTGTGAAAATGGCAATATTGCCAAAGGACATCTACAAATCCAATGCAATGCCCATCAATATCCCGACATCATTCTTTAATGAAATAGCAGAAGCAATCCAAAATTTCATATGGAATAATAAAAGGCCCAAATAACAAAACAATCAGCAGGAAGACTAGTGCTGAAGGAATATCAATACCAAACTTCACATTCCTACTGTGAAGCTATATAGTAATAAAAACAGCTTGGTACTGGCACAAGAATAGGCCTAAGGACCAATGGAATAGAACTGAAGACCCAGAAATGAACTTAAAGACCTATGGCCCCCTAATCTCTGATAAGGAAACCAAAAAAGCAGGATGAAAGAAAGCCTCTTCAACAAATGGTGCTGGCAGAATTGGCTATACACATATAGAAAACTGAAGTTAGGTCCTTATAGATCATCTTGTACCAGAATCAATTCCAGATAGATTAAAGTCCTAGAAGTAAAAGCAGATGCCCTGACAATATTACAGGAAGGAATAGGGGGAACTCTAGGGCTTCCTGGCACAGGTTGAAGCTGTCTTAATGAAGACACAGAAACACTACAAATCAAAGAAAAGTTGGATAAGTGGGATTGCATTGAACTGCAGAGCTTCTACATAGCAAAGGACATAACTAGCAAGATCAGTAGAAAGCCCATGGATTGGGAGAAGATCTTCACTAGCCATATAACAGACAAGGGCCTCATATCTAAAATATACTTAGAACTCAAAAAATTCCCCTAAAGCAAATCATCAAAGTAACAACCGCCCCATTAACAAGTTGGCTAAAGACTTAAAAGAGAGACTTCTCTGAAGAGAAAATAAGAATGGCCAATAGACACATGAAGAAACGTTCAACTTCTCTGGCCATAAAAGAAATGCAAATCACAACATTAAGGGGCTGGGAAGGTAGCTCAGTGGTAGAGCGTTTGCCTTGCATGCATGCGGCCCTGGGTTCGATTCCTCAGCACCACATAAGAAAAAAGAAAAAGCCAGAAGTGGCACTATGGCTCAAGTGGTAGAGCGCTAGCCTTGAGCTGAAGAGCTGAGGGACAGCGCACAGGCCCGGAGTTCAGGCCCCACGACTGGACCCCCCCCCCCCCAAAAAAAAAAACCAAACAACAACAACAACATTGAGATTCCACCTCACCCCAGTTAGAATGACTATGATCAAGAACTCTAATAGCAACAGATGCTGGTGGGGATGTGGCCAGAAGGAAACAACACTACTATACTGTTGGTGGGAGTGTGAACTTGTTCAACTACTCTGGAAGGCAGTATGAAGCTTCCTCAAAAGACTCACATAGAGCTCCCCTTTGACCCAGCAATCCCATTGCTGGGCATTTACCCAAATGCTCACAAACAAGGCCACACTAAAGCTACCAGCACAACCATGTTCATTATTTTTTTACCATAGCTAACGTACGGAACCAACTCAGCTGCCCCTTGGTAGATGAATGGATCAAGAAGATGTGGTATATACACAATGGAGTTCTATACTTCCATCAGAAATAATGACATCGCCCCATTCATAAGGAAATGGAAAGACCTGGAAACATTATATTAAGCAAAGCAAGCCAGGCCTAGAAATACAGGTTTCATGTTTTTTCTCATTTGTAATAATTATGTATGATATTTTTAGCAGGGGATCACACACAATAGCCCAGTTGCTAAGTACAGAGGACCATGTATAATGAAGCATATCAAAATGAATTCAAGAACTAGAAATAAGAGGTTCTTATTATGTCCTGTATGCAGTTACTTCTATTTTTTTCTTCTGTTTTAGTTTTATGTAGCCTTTATCTACTTATAAGCTTATCAGATCTGTGGAAGGGAAAGGAATCACAGGAACATCAGGACAAAGGATGAACTAATGCAACAATGATACTCACTAGACACTATGTTGGAAGTGAACTTTACAACTTGGAGAGGGGTGGTAACGGGGAGAAAATGAGGTAGAGGTAACAGTGTTTAAAAAGGCAAGTACTCATTACCCTACTTGTGTAACTGTAACATCCCTGCTCATCACCTCTACAATAACTTTTTTAAAAAGGAATTAAGGGCTCAATTGTATATGTGACCATATGCAGGCAGGTCCTTAAAGTGAAACAAAATTTCAAGGAGATTTGGCAGTAATACCTGGAAGATAAGTTGTAAATAAGTAATGTATATGCTCATATAATAAGTAAGCATATAAGTAAAATAGAAATTTTATATGACTGATAGCATTAGCCAGTGTTGTATATGTATGAGATATGGATAGTTCTGTTGTAAAAATGAAAAGGTTTTTGTAGAAGAAAAAAAAATGAAAGCATTTCTTAAGTTATTAAACCTTTTTTCTGTCCATTATAGGTAGGGTTCACAAATCTTAAATATTTGTGCCTGTAGCTGAGATCTTGATATTTGCAATAACTAAAGGGGGAAAAAAGTATAAATGACACTAGCTTTTCTCTCTCCCCTTCCTTCTCCCTTTCTGGCCCTTCCTCCACCCTCCTCTACTCCCTTCATCTTCTTCTTCTTTTTGGTGATGGTGGTACGGGGGATCAATTTGGGCCTCGAATATAGGCAAGTATGTGTGCGCACATGTGTGTGTGCATGTGCACGTGTGCGTGTGTGTGAGCGCATGTGTGTGCCTGTGTGTATTTAATCTAAGCCCAATAATTATCTTTTTCTGTTTAGAACAAGTTGAAAAACAAAGTGCAGTCTGAAGACAAATCTTTGCAGTGACTGTGGATAGCAATTTTCCATTTCAGGGGAAGTCAAACCTCTTAGAATTAGATGGTAATGACTCCGCTTTCACAGCAGTGTGTTCCCTAGGGATACCATGAGTATCCTTAGATGGATGGGCTTTCTGTTCTTCATGAAACATAAGATTCCTTGATTGTATGATTATTGGGCATAAAACAGGAACATTTTCTTCCAAACCTCTGTTTAGAATATTTCTGTGCTCTTTGCCCAGAGAATTGTGACCCTGCTTTTCCCCAAGGCCTTTCCTTTCCTTACAGACTTCTGGAAGGTCTGGTCTGTTTTACCACAGACTTTGCATTTGTCTGTGATAAGTGATCTCCTTCAAACTTGAAAGCAAGGAAGTAGTATGGGAAAGGCAGACCTAGTGCAGAAGTCGGTGGTTTGATTTCCTTGTTTTGTCTTGAATATTTTCATGATAGTTACTACTCATAGCCTTCCAAAACATCCACTGTAATGTTTTTTCACTTAAACATCCCTTGTTTAGTACACTACTTAATTTCTAAGTCTGTGTTGTGGGACCAGTCCAGAATTTGTTTTCTATCTAGGAAAAAAAATATCCATTTTCATTTATTCCTTTATGTAAAGAACATCTTAATGTCTACTTACTGCCAAACAATTTGATTAGAAAGTATGGCTTTTTTTTTTACAAATGACAAGAAAAAGTCATAAATATTTTACTTCTTATTTATCTTGGTATAGCGTTAGCATAATTATTGACAAAGGTGCAACACACTGTGACTGCAGCCAGCCCGGCCTGTGCAGACTGAAGTGTTCACTTGTTTTTCTTCTACTCTGGAAGATTTATTTGTACTATTAAAATTGCTGATTCTCAAAGCAAATTTAAATATTTACTGCTTTTATGAGAGTAAGCCTGTATTGAATTAGGCTAATAATGGCTCTAGTTGCTCATTGTATTGCCTGATAATATCATTGCAATGCATAGAAAACTCTTTACAGAAACAGCCTACATTTTTATGTAAACTAGTTGAGCTTTTATCCTTTACCCACATATTTCCTTCCTTAACCAAAATAGTTCATTGTTAGAACCAAATGATTTGTGTTAGTTTTATCCTTCTTCATTCACTTCTGCCTTTTATGTCAACTAGTCTTCCATGAAGCATATTAAATTCACAAATTAGGCCCTAATTGAGAACCCGTGTACAAAGCAAGCCCTGTAGGAATAAATAATCTGTATGTAGTCCCAGCCGTAGTCCAGATGTTAGGTAATGTAGGACAAGATCATGAGGTCTTTACTTTCTACTTCTTGCTCTCCTAGGGTGTGCTTTGGTCTCCTTTTGGACAGGAGTAGATACTAAAAAACCTTCAGTGTGAGAAGCAGCAAGACACACCCTAGACAGTACTGTTGGGACTGATCTCAGTACTAGTGCTTTCACTGGCTCCTGTCTGTCTATCTAGGAAACTTCTATGGAACCCCCAAGCCTCCAGCAGAGCCCAGCCCTTTCCAGCCAGACCCTGTTGATCAAGTTCTCTTTGACAATGACTTTGACACTGAATCCCAAAGGAAGAGAACTACCTCTGTCAGCAAGATGGAAAGGATGGACAGCTCTCTTCCTGAAGAGGAAGAAGATGAAGACAAAGACGCTGTTAATGGCAGTGGACCCACAGGTTTGTAACTAGATGGACAACTTCTGGTTTCTGTGGTAATTCCACTGTAACATTGAGTTGGATATAGTAAAACTTTACAAGGAATATAGAGAGAATAAGTGATTTTTGTTTTTTGTTTGTTTATTTTGCCAGTCCTGGGGGTTGGCTTCAGGGCTTGGACGCTGTCTCTGAGCTGCTTTTGCTCACAGCTAGTGCTGTACCACTTGAGTCACAGTGCCAGTTCTGGCTTATTCTGATCAGTTAATTGGAGATGAGAGTTTCTTCCGCCTGGGCTGGCTTCAAACTGTGATCCTCAGATCTCAGCCTCCTAAGTTAACTAGGGTAATAGGTGTGAGCTACCAGTGCCCAGCAATTGTGATTTTTTTTTTTTTTTAAAACTCTGTATGGAGCAGTTTGTTTCTCTGTAGACCACCTTGTAAGCCAGCGAGACTTAACTCAATTTTGGTAAGTCAATAATAAGCTATCAGTAATAAAAATAAGACAATATGGCAATACTCTGTTGGCCTAAAGTATCTGAGAGTCTTCTCCACTGCTGGGATACAGGAATCTTACTGATCTAAATTTATTTTACAGGATAAATGCAAAGTGTATTTTATAATATAACCAGCCTTCAGCCAGAGTATATAGAATTTGGAAATATATCAGTAAAAATTACTAGAAAGGTTACTAGCAATATTTTTCATTTAGATTTTGAAATATTAGTGTGTATACTTTTGAAGTGCTAGAGTTTTGCTTGTTTTGTTCATTATTGTATCCCTTGAAACAAAAGCAGTGACTTGACATATAGTTTAAAAAATGCAAATATATTGACCAGGCCCTTATTAGTCAGTCACACTTATAATCCTAGCTACCCAGGAGTCAGGGATCAGGAAGATGTGGTTTGAGGCCAGTTCAGACAAAAACCTAGGGAGGCTCCACCTCAGTTAACAAGCCGTGCCATGCCATGCGGAAGAATAGGTGAAAGGGTCAGCCTAGGCAAAAAGGCAAGACCCTACTTAAAAAATAGCTTCAAGGAAAAAAAGGCTGGGGGGTTATGGATTAACCTTAGCAAGGATAAGGTCCTGAGTTCAAACCCTAGTCCGACCAAAAACAAAAAAGAGATTTTGTGTGTATGTGTGTGTGTATATGCAGATAAATAATAGGTAAATCATGGCCTCATCTCCATATTTTCCCAAAACACAATTGTCTTTTCCTTTATCAGTTGTTAAGATGTAATATGTAACCAAGTACTGGTAGCTCAAGCTTATAATCCTAGCTGTTCAGGAGGCTAAGATCTGAGGATCATGGTTCAAAGCCAGCCTGGGCAGGAAAGTCCATGAGATTCTTACCTCCAATTAACTATGAAAAAAGCTGGAGGTGAAGCTGTGGTTCAAATGGTAGAGTGCAGGGCTGGGAGGTGGCTCAGTGGTAGAGTGCTTGCCTTGCATGCATGAGGCCCTGGGTTCGATTCCTCAGCACCACATAAACAGAAAAAGCTGGAAGTAGCGCTGTAGCTCAAGCGGTAGAGCGCTAGCCTTGAGCTGAAGAGCTGAGGGACAGTGCCCAGGCCCAGAGTTCAGGTCCACGACCGGCAAAAAAAAAAAAAAAATGGTAGAGTGCTAGCCTTGAGCAAAAGAAGCTTAGGGGCAGAACTCAAGCCCTGAGTTTAGTCTTGTACTAGCCTTCTCTCCCCACCCTTACTCTCTCTTCACTTTCTCTCCCCTCTCGTCTCTCTCTCTTGCCTCTCTCTTGTGACCTTGAATGAGTTAACCTCTCTGTGCTTACTTTGTTCAGTCTGTAAAATAAGGGTGGTAATACAGGGTAGTTGTGAGCATTGCTGGTGTTAAGAGGTTCTACACAGGACAGGGTTCATAGTAACAGAAAATGACTAGCATTGAATGTGCATATTTCTCACTTCAGAATGTCTAGAAGAATGTGGACATGTAGAATAGACAAGTAAAATGTCAGCATGTAATGCTGATACTATGTACACATGTTTAGCTGGCATTTTGTAAGAAAACAAAAGGGTTGTTTGACTAAGTGTAACTTTACTGTTCTGTTTTGTCCAATGGCAGAAAACAGAGAGAGGCATTCCGAGTCACCAGACTGGATGAAGACTGTTCCAAGTTATAACCAAACAAATAGCTCCATGGACTTTAGAAATTATATGATTAGAGATGAAAACCTGGAACCACTACCCCCAAACTGGGAAATGGCCTACACAGACACAGGAATGATCTACTTCATTGAGTAAGCCAACTCCTGCCTCTCTTCAGATGCGCCGCTACTGTGGGCATTGTCCAAAATGTTGTTAACTTCATTTTAAATGTGTGCCTGCTTGGCAAAGCTCTTGTTTCTTCTCCTTTCTTTAGAAATATTTTTTATACAAGTAGTAGATGATCCTTATTCTGATTAGCTTCCTGGATAGCATTTTATTATTTTTGACTTAGATGAACAGAATAGTATATTTTGCCTCTGGTTTTATAGAAGGAAGACCTACAATTGATTTATCACTAATGGTAAAAACAAAAGGAAAACAAGATTTTTTTTGTGCTTTAAATTTTTTTTTTAGATTATCCATGCCCATTTCAAGAACTATCATCTGTGGGGTGGGACATACTATTATCTGAGCTAAGTATTTTCATTCCTAGAATTTAGGCTTAATGTATTCAGACAATATAGTTATATAACATTGGAGGAAATACCATTGACCCTCAGAACAATTGGTACAATAAAAATGTACAGAAAATACTGTCTTTACTGGAAAGCACTGTCAGGGTAATAGTGTATATTCATAAATATACTGAGTAGCATAGAATTGAGTCAACCTAAAACTGAATACTTTCGCATCAGATAATAATAATTTGCAAATCATTTGTTCTTTTTGTTGTTGTTGTTGTTGGTTGTAGGGCTTGAACTCAAGCCCAGACACTGTCCCTGAGCCTGCTTGTGCTCAAGGCTAGCTCTGGACCACTTGAGCCACAGTGCCTCTTCTAATTCTTTTTTTTTTTTTTGGGTCCAGTAGTGGGGCCTGAACTCTGGGCCTGGGCGCTGTCCTTCAGCTCAAGGCTAGTGCTCTACCACTTGAGCCACAGCGCCACTTCCGGCTTTTTTCTTTTTGCTTATGTAGTGCTGAGGAATCGAACCCAGGGCCTCATGCATGCAAGGCAAGCGCTCTACCACTGAGCTACCTTCCCAGCCCCTCTTCTAATTCTTGAGTGGTCAAATGGAGTCTCATGGGGACTTTTCTGCCCTGGCCGCTTCGGACATGATCCTCAGATCTCAGCCTCCTGGGTAGCTAGGCTTACAGACATGAGCCACTGGCACCTGTTGAATTTCATATAGCTGTAATGCTCATCTTTAAAGCAGTTTGATCCCAAATATTTGATCCCAATATTAATGGAATGAACTTTCAGAATATAATAAATAATAGTAAAAATATTGAGGGCTGGGCAGTACACTCAAAGAATATTTACTTAGAAATTAACTTAGAGTAGACTTCTAAATCTGTTCCTCTAGCAGTCATCAACCCATATCCTTTACTGGATATCTTCCTTTGCCCAGTGGATTCTAGTGTTCAGAGATGTCAGTTTGACTACATGGTATTCTTTTTTACCATATGTAGTGGTACATTCTCATGTCTATGTCTACGTAAACATTAAGGACCTGGATCACACAGACACAACTAGATGTGCTCTTCTGTGGACAGCTTAATGGTTTTCAAGGACAGTTGAGAAGTAAACTAGAACTAAGCTAAAAGTGGTTAACATGTCTATAGAAACAGACTATGAAACATTAAATCTATGATACTTTACCTTGCAAACAAAGATAGCAAATTATAGAGATTTATTTTAAAGAAGTGTATTGTTCAGTGTACCAAAGACCTGAAACTATGAAACCTCTAGAAGAAAACAGAATAGAGAAAGCTTCACAACATTGGATGTGGGAAAGACATCTGAACTTGACACTAAAAAGCCTGGAACAACTAAAGCAAAAGCAGACACATGGAACTAGAGAAACTTTGAAGCTTTCTGTACGGCAAAGGAAGCAGTCTACAAATGGAAGAAAGTATTTGCAAATTGTGTATTGCATGAGGTGTTAACATCCAGAATACAGTTGAATATTTAGTGCTAGGTAAAGTTGTTCTGTTTGCTGTTGGTCATGTGATTGGTCTCTGTCACACTAGCATGGTGGGTCAGGGTTGACTGGAGCTGGAGCAAAGGTATATTGATACAGGTCAAAATATTACTATATTGTAGGAATGGGCTCTCCTTTACCTTGGGATATACTTGGTAAAATTCTAGGAGATTCCTACATCTGCTTATTTAGAAATTAAAGAGTTTGGTTTAGCAAGATATTTACATGAGACTATTTATTTATGACTTATTTTAGTTCTAATTTATTTTGCTAAGCCTGACTGCACTGGTTTATGTTTTAGGAAGATTTTCCATCTAGAGAAGGTATAGCACAGACTTTCTAAAAGCAGTCTTAGTTTTTTCCAGTGGAGACTGATGATTATTGAACATGCAATAGAACGTATCTTTGCCATGGTCTGCTGCCTGGCAGTGGCTCTGAAATTATTGAACTCATGGGTTGAAGAAAGTGTAGTAGGTGACTCACCCCTGAAACCATTGGCTGGATTGCCTAAGAGTGGACCAGGTAGAGATGAACAAGTTAGGATACATGAAAGATGTGCATGGGAACTTGCTCATAGTTTTTCTCATAGTTCTTAAAATATAAATTTACAGTTTCTACGTCCATATACATTTTCTCTCATGTCTTTTTCTTTTCTAATATGACTGTATTTTTTCTTTCTGCTGGCAGTGTGATAGACGGGTCCTACATTTCGTCTATTGCACGATGGCCTGCATGGAAGCTAAAGTACTGTCCACCTGAGTCAGGACACATGCCGCTCTCTGATGAAAGCATTTGGGGTGATGATGGAGTCTTTCTGATGATATTGTAGAACGCAATTTTACCACGTCTGTGGTTTTTACTTGCATGTTTCAGAAACAGCTACTTTACACCTTGTTTACACTTAATCTGTTTTATCTTAACAGTCCTTGTGAAGGCAGTTTTCTTTGTTTTTGTGGGATTTTTGTAGTTGTTTTGCCAGTCATGGACGTTGAACTCTAGGCCTGGGCACTGTCTCTAAGCATCTTTTGCTCAAGGCTAGCACTCTATCACTTGAGCTATAGTACCATGTCCACCTTTTTCTGTGATAATTGGAAGAGTTTCATGAACTATTCTGCCCAAGATGGCTTCCAACTGTGATCTTCAGATCCCAGCCTCCTGAGTAGCTTAGGATTACAGGCATGAGCCACTGGTGCCAGGCTGAAGACATTGTTTGACCATTTGTGTCTATATTCCCAGCCCTCAGCATAATAACTACATATCATAGATGCTCAAGAAATGATGGAGCTCTTTTGAAGGGCAGTAGAAAAACTCAGCCAGCATGCAAGTAAGATTCCCAGTGATACTTTGCCACTTAATAATGCACAATGTGTGGCTGTGTGTGCGCCCTGCAAAATGTCTTTGACCACTTAGATAAAATACTACTCCTTTGCATGTGATCCTCTCTTTAACGTCTTCATTCTCAAATTTGTGCCTTAACATCAGCTTTCCTCTGTGGAAGTTTTTAGAACAGGGGTTATTGATTTTGAAGGCCTATGAAAATAAATGTTTCAACATCACTTTTAATTTGCCTTTGAAAAACTTTAATTCCTCTTTGTTCTCCTGTTTCTAATTGAGATCTTTATTCTACAGCCACAACACCAAAACAACCACCTGGTTGGATCCTCGTCTTTGTAAAAAAGCCAAAGCCCCTGAAGACTGTGAAGATGGAGGTAGAGATTCAGAATCTTTTATGCCATTCTTACCTTCTCTGTTCTTTCTTGCTCTGCTTGCTTAGTTAATGCATTTTCCAAAACCATAAACAAATTGTAATGTGTTGAAGCACATGACTTGTAGGTAGACATCTTGATCTACTGACTGTGAGAATTATAACAACGAGTATTACTTTGTGAAAAATGTTCTTTATCTCCTCTGAGAGGATTATAGTTCTTTTTTTTAAGAAACTTAACAAAAATATGTTTTTCTCTTTAAACGCATATCCTTAAAACACAATTCTTAAAGTTCAATAAATTTAGGAACATTCTTAACTACAAGGTAGCATATTTGTTGAATCTTCAAAAATACGTTAAATTTAGTATGCAATGGGTATGCTAGAATGTATTCCTTAGCTAAACCAATAGAAACTCAATGAAAGCCTGTCCTATACTACCCACACACAATTTTACTCTAAGAATCACCAGATAGGCTGGGAATGTGGCTTAGTGGTAAAGTGCTTGCCTAGTATGCATGAGGCCCTAGGTTCAATTCCTTGGCACCACATAAACAAAAAATAAAGTTAAAATAAAATGTTATTAAAAAAAAGAATTACCAGAGAATAATATTTATCTATATTGTATATTACAGGTTTATATGGTAGCATGTAGTTTTGCAAATAAGCATAGTATTTTTCCTACCCAAAATGGTTTGATATGTCTTGATCTTGAAAATAGGGTATAATTAAACAGAATTTCCAATTTTATTGTTCAAGATGGTTATAATCTTAAGAGTTCTTCTAGGAACAAACAATTGAAAAAGACGAAACGTCTAAGCAGGGTACCCGAGGCTCATGCCTGCAATCCTAGCTATTCCAGAGGCTAGGATCTGAGGATTGCGGGCCGAAGTCAGCCTGGCCAGGAAAGTCTTTGAGACTCTTATGTCCAGTTAGCCACCAAAAAGCTGGGTGTGTAGCTGTAGCTCAAGTAGTAGAGCACTAGCTTTGAGCATAAACGTAAAAAGCTTAGGGACAGTGCCCAGGTCCTGAGTTCAAGTCCCAGGACCAGCACCAAAAAAAAAGTTTATAATGGCATCAAAAAAATTGAAGCTGGGAGGCTGGGAAGGTGGTTTAGTGGTAGAGCGCTTGCCTTGCATGCATGAGGCCCTGGGTTCGATTCCTCAGCACCACATAAGCAAAAAAGAAAAAAGCCAGAAGTGGCGCTGTGGCTCCAGTGGTAGAGCACTAGCCTTGAGCTGAAGAGCTGAGGGACAGCGCCCAGGCCCAGAGTTCAGGCCTCACAACTGGACCAAAAAAAAAAAAATTGAAGCCGGGCACCAGTGGCTCATACCTGTAATCCTAGCTACTCAAGAGGCTGAGATCTGAGGATCCTGGTTCATAGCCAGCCCGGGTAGGAAAGGCCATAAAACTCTTATCTCCAATAAACCACCAGAAAACCAGAAGTGGTGTTACGGCTAAAGTGGTGTAGAGCACTAGCCTTGAGCTGAAGAGCTTAGGGACAGCGCCCAGGCCCAGAGTTCAAGCTCCATGACCAACTAAAAACAAAAAACATTGAAATCCTCAGAACAAATCTGTTGAAACATTCAAATCCCTTACACCAAAAACTATAAAACATCACTGAAATTAATAATGACCTAAGAAATAATGTTCATGAATCAAAGGTCACAGTATTGGTAATTACATCCTTTCTTTGTGAATTGGTATGTAGATCCAGTAAATTCATAATCAAAAATTCAATGTGCTATTTTAAGGACATTAAAAACTCATCAGGAAATACAAAGGCTCTAATCAGCCAAACAACTTAAAAATAACACAGTTGAAGAATAGCCTACCAGATTAGAAGACATGCCGTAAGGCTACAGTAATCAAGACGGTATGGTACTGGCATAAGAACAAATAGGTCACTGTGGCAGAAGAGACCAGAGATAGGCATATATGCGTATCCAGGGTGATTTATAACCTAGGGGACAGATGAATTGAATGTGGAACAAAGTGTAACAGCTGGTGCTGGGACAAGTTGATATCATATGGAAAGGCGAACCTGGGATCTGTAAACATAGCTTGGTAGTTTGGTGGCAGAGTGCTGACCTAGCATACATAGGTTCTGTGTTTGATTCCAAGCACTCCCTCCCCCACACCACCACCCCCCCCCCCAAAAAAAAAAAAATGAGAAAGAAGGACTTGGGTACTTCACCAAAGAAGGAAAGGTGCTGAAACCTGTTGGAAGGACTAAAGTCAAATACACACCACCAAAGATTTGGTTGTATTTAGGGTAACTAGAACTTTATTTCTGGCAGAAATATTTTCTGGTAAAATTACGTGAAAGTTTTAGAGAACTTTTGGCATTTTCCTCTGCGATACTGTCTTAAGAGCAATGAAAATATCTCCAGAACGACTTCACAAGCAAAGAATGGCCATGGCAGCCTTAACCATACAAACCTTAGACACATCCAAATGTCCATGAACAGAATGGATAAACTGTGCAGTGAAATACTACTCATCAATGAAAGGGAAAAAGACACTTTTGAAACATTCAAGAACACTGAAGAATCTAAGAAACATTGAATGTAAGAAGCTAAATACAGAAGCACTTGGTTATGCATTTTACAAAGTATGAGAATCAGTTAAGCTCATCTGTAGTGATAGAAATTAGAAACGAGTGGAGACAGCTGGGGAGAATTGAGGTGGTTCTCTGCTCGATGGATTTTCCTTCTCGTGTTAGGGGTGGCAGTAACTTGGATATGGGCAGTTGCCCAGATCCATTTTATGTATCTGAACAAGCAGTTGAATTACTTTTTTCATCCTTGAAAGAGCACTTATGGGCATTTTATTAAATATTAAGAAATCATGTTTTAAATTATTTTTATACTATACCTCCGTTGTCTGTAAGACTCCAAGAGCAAGTTCTTTGTGATGATGCTGTTAGCCATTGTAATCCTGACAAGGATACACAGATGCTGTAGTTTGGCTTTCCAAATTGCACATAGGGTGTTAGTCTGTAGAATACATCTGTTTTGCTGTTCTGTTTCTTTTCAGACTTAGCAGTGTTTCAATTCTCTGCCCTTTCCCGTTTGTGGAGAGTGTTCTCATAGTTTTAATCATCACTTTGCCATAGCTGACTACCTTACTAAAATCTCTAGGATTTTTCTCTGTACTGAGCTCTCTCTATATATGTGTCCTCTCTTGATTTTGAAACTTTTTTTTTGGAGGGGTGGGGGGTTGGGGAGGTTGTGGGGCCTGAACTCTGGGCCTGTCTCTCAGCTGTTCAGTGCAAGGCTAGTGCTCTACCACTTACTTGAGCCACAGTGCCACTTCTGGCTTTTTCTGCTTATGTGGTGCTGAGGAATCAAACTCACAGTCTCATGCATGCGAGGCAAGCACTCTACCACTGAGCCCCCTTCCCAGCCCCTTTTGAAACTATTTTTGTCTTACTAGTACTTTAAATAAATTAAACTAACGCTGGCATCTTTCTCCTTTGTCACTCCTCTGTAGTGTCTCTGTCACTCTTTTTGTCATACCTAACCATTTACATGATCTTTGGGACAAAATCCTGTGATCATGTTTGCTTTTTCTTCTCTTCTTGCTCTAGTCCCTATATTTTCAAGCCTAGTTCTTTCTTCTTATTTTTGCTAATGTGTAATTATTCAAAATTTCAACATATAGAAAAACTTGGCAATTTTATTATATTTGGATATAGTTGTAGATATAGAAGCATGCCCATCTCTGAGTTAATACCATTAATGTTCTGCCACTTTTCCTTTTTGTTTAGTTGTGTAGTGCTGAGAATCAGACCTAGGACTGCACACGTGTAAGAAAGTCTTCTACCACTGAGCTGCATCCATTTCACCTGCCCATCGTCGGCTCTTTGCTCATGTTTTTTCGTCATATTATGTCTTCTCTGTTCTTCTAATCACCACACCCTTGGATATTCTTGGTCTTGGTCCTATAGTTACTTTTATCCTCTAATACACCCCTCATGCCAACATTGTCCAAAATAATGATACTCAAAGCTATCTATTGTAGCTTTGTAGAACTTATTTTCATGATTGAAAAAAAGGGTATAAACTGAACTTAACCCTTTGGTGTTCAGATTGGTATTGGCATTCTTACTCATTCTGCCTGTCACTATGCTCTGAGGAGAAATTAGTATAATACCCTTGCTTTTCATCCAGGGTTGTGAAGTTTTTCAGTTTACTTGTGCCAGTTTTTAGACTATGATACATAGGCTTCAAAGTAACCCACATAAGATAGATTTCTGCAAAACGCACTGCAAAGGAAGGTAACACAAGTAAAAAAAAAAAAAAAACAGAAAAGCTAACAGTCTTCAGATACCTCATATTGAGGTAAAACATGAGAAGGATTCAGTCATCTCCTTTTCAGACATTTGGTTTGCATATGATGTGTTCTGCACATGTACATGTATGTGTGTTCTGGAGGGTAGTGTATATATTCATGCATCTTTGTGGGTACATGTTCTCATTTTTTACAGAGAAAGCTACATAAGCAAAACATTATGGAGAAATTGCTGTGTACCACTGAATTAAATTTTCTAAAGTAAAATTACCTCTCCCTTGCTCCCTGTTGTTTTCAGAATAAAGCCCAGACTCCTTGGTAAACTATTAAAGATTTTTTTTTTTAGAACTGAACCACGTTTTATATTTCTCTTTCAAAATATTTCACATCATCAGTGTGGCCTATGTTTGTCTTTGCCTTTGTCCTGTACGTGTTTCTTCTGACAGAAATCATGCTGATTTCCTGTGCACACCTGGCCCAAGCCTGCTAGTTTTTGCAGCTCCTATCTGAACTGTAATTCCTTTGTGGCCTTCCCTGTCATGCTTCTCCAGGTTCAGGTTCTATGTTCTTTCTCCATGCTCAGCTATAACCTGACCTCTCCATCGTGAAGCACAGGCATTACAACTAGATACCATGGTTTGTGAGAAAAAGGATGTGGGCTGTTCATTTGGATTCCCTTCAGCAGAGGCTTACATGGTTAGAAGAGGG